CTAACAACAACAATACATATTCACAAATAAATGTGTAATTTTACTGTGTTTCATTCCAAATACAGTTAAAATCATGAGAGCAATTGGGAGTTCTGTGTTTCCTTTTGCTATTTCATTGACCAAAGTCTAAGAAGTATCCTTATGTATTCAGTGGACACACAGTAGATTATATTCATCAACAAAATAGAGTAAAACATAGTAAAAATAGTTTGAATAATTTAGAAATAATTGGAAAAGAGAAACTGATACTCTTTGGCACTTTGGTATATGTCTACTTTTCTAGAATTGAAATTATGAGAAAAAGTTTGTACTTTTTTCTACCTTTTCCAGTTTCTTTAAGGGAATTTTAAAGCATCTCATTTCAGTTAAAATTCAAGATTTGCAAAGCTTATTAGTTAGCATGCTGATGCTTCCTCTAAAGTTACTACTTACTATCTTCTGTTCTAGAATAGCTTCATTGTACTCATGACAGCTGTCATTGCAGATAAACACACAGATAAACACATATACAGATGGTCCATAGACAGACAAGTCCTGATGTGGTCTCAAAACTAATTCATTGACGTTGACTTATTGCAGCAATAGATTTCCTCATTGATGAGGGATTTAGACCAAGCCTCTTTCAGCCATAAAATACTGTGACTTTCTATGACTCTGATGTTTAAATACTCAAGGTAATACATAGGCAGCTTACACTAGAAATATTTTTGTTTGAAACATTTTGAAACTTTACATGATTATACTTATGTTTTAATTTGGCCAAAGAATTATAAAATATTTTAAATAAAATTTCAGTATTTATTGAAACTTTATCCTTAAGTTCTGCTAAGATTTGAGAATTTGATAATCACATTCTTAGATTTTACATTATGCATGCTATATCTAAAGCAGACACAAATGATAACATCAGCCGTTTCTTTTTTGTGGGACAATATAGGTATAGAGAAAATGAGAGAAACTGATTGTGACACTCTACCAGCAAAATCTGTATCAACTTCTGAGAAACACTCATCACTTGAGTTGAATAGTAACAGTGGAGTTGAAAGTCCAGTGAAGTCACCTGAAAGCAGTGAGAAAAATGTACTGTATACAAGAGAAACTTGCTCACCACATCTCATTTCGGTAAAACATGTATTATTTTCCTTTATCAGTTACATCGGAAGGGAGTAAGTTACATATATTGTTGTTCTTGTGTGGTGCCATTGAGTTGGTTTCAACTCATAGTGGCCTTGTGTACAACATAATGAAATGTTGCTTAATGCTGGGCCATTCTCATCATCATTGTTATGTTTGAGTCCATCTGTTGGGGGTCTTCTTTACCAATAATGATGTCCTTTTCCAGAGACTGGTCCCTCCTGATAACCGCTCTTGCCCTCCTTCCTACTAAGGAACATTCTGGTTGCACTTCTTTCAAAAGAGATACGTTTGCTTTTTCTAGTTTATAGTTAGGTGCTGTCAAGTCAGTCCTGACTTAGAGCTACCTTATGCACAGCAGAAGGAAATGGTGCCTGGCCATTTGTCATTCTCACAATTGTTGCTAAGCTTCAGCTCATTGCTCCTGCCACGGTGCCATTCCATCTTGTTGAAAGTCCTCCTCTTCTTCACTGACCTTCACTTTAAAAAAGGATGGTATGTTCAAAGTATAAGACATGAAGTCTAGCCATCTTGGCTTCTAAGATTCTAAGATCCACCTGATGTCAGTAATGTTATCCCTCTTTCTACATTGTCAACTGAATCTGGCTTGAACCTCTCGGGCAGTTCACTGTTGTATCTGTTTTTTAATTATCTTTAGAAAAATTTTACTTGCATGTGATATTAATACTCTTATTGGTGCTGTTGTTAAGTGCCATCGAGTCAGTTCCAACTCTTAGGGTTTCCAAGTGGCTGGTGAGTTTGAACCACAACCTCGCACTTCAACCTTGTAGTCCAGCCCTTATCCTAAAGCACCAACCACATCAGGACACCATTCTTCTGGTAGTGTGCGGTATATTCAATATTCTTCACTAATACCATAATTCATAGGCCTCAGTTCTTCTTCCAGCCTCTGCAAGCATTATGAGGTGATTGAAAATACTATGGCTTGTATTTGGGCACCTTAGCACTCAAAGTGACATCTTTGGGGTTTTTTTGAGATATAGTTGCCCAATGCAATACATCATCTGATTTCTTGACAACTTCTATCTTTTCTCTATTGATTTTGATGTTGCTTATTGGCCTATTTGTTTCCTTTATGATAAGATATAATCCATGCTGAAGGCTGTATGTAGTCTGATCTTCAGCAAGCAAGTTTATTATCTAATTTGCCTATAATAATCTAATATGCATTGCTTATTTACTTAAGGTGTTGGGTTTGGTCTGGAAATCAGTGGTCAAATATAAGGAGATACAGGTCCCAGCCTCATGGAACACAGTAGATAATTCACAGTACCATGTGGGGAGGAGAGTTCTCTTTTGGGAAACAGTCTACAAATCAAAACAACTACATTTTCTAGATTCAAATAGATTTATTCCTTCAACACCACCAATCAAAGAGTGTAACTTGTAGTTCCTGCATCGGGAGCCCTGGTAGCATAGTGGGTAAACTTTCAGCTGCTTTGGAACCCACCAGCCCCTCTGTGAGAGAAAGATGTGGCAGTCAGTGTCTTTAAAAATGAGCCAATTCCCATTGAGTCGAATTTTGACTCTTACCCTGTAGGTTTCCAAGGCTGTAATTTGTATGGAAGTAGACTGCCACATCTTTCTCTCACAGAGGGGCTGGTGGGTTTGAATCCTATAGCCTTGGGTTAGCAGTCGAGAGCGTAACTACTGTGCCACCAGAGCACCTTCTGTAAAAACAGCACTCAGGAAATCCTGTGGGGTTGTTCTAGTCTCCCCTTTATAGTTGTTAAGTGCCGCTGAGTTGATTCTGACTCTTAGTATAGGGTTTATGGGAGCCACTGGTGGATTTGAACCACCGACTTTGCAGTTAGCAGTTCAGTTTTATTCTACAGCGCCACACCAGGACTGAAATGAGAAATTAAAGAGGAATTGCATTCATGATTTTTAAAAATTTTCAAGATCTATCTTGAAGTATACACGTACAAGGAAGACCAGTTAATACCACTATCACTCAAATTTATGTAAACACTAAAGGCAGTTTTGATTAAATTGATCAAAACATAAATAGCATCGAGATGCATGGATAATTCCTGGTGACTGGAATAAAACTGTTGGAAACAAAAAGGGTCAGTAGTTGGAAATTCTGGCCTTGTTGTTAGAAATGATGCTAGGGGGTCTTGTGATAAATTTTGCAAGACCAATGACAGCCACTGCAAAACTTTTTAAAACAACATGAAAGATGACTATACACATGGACCTCACCAGACAGAATATACAGAAATCATAATATCATCAGCCAGAACAAGGCCAAGAGAAAAGTGTAGAACAGGACACCAATTGCTCATAATGCAAGTTCAGGCTGAAGAAAATCAAAACAAGTCCACAAGAGCCAAAATATGACCTTGAACATAGCTGACCTGAATTTAGAGGTCATTCATTCCAAGAACAGATTTGATGAATTAGACACTAATGACAAGATGAGAAGAATTATGGGATGACATCAAGAACATCTTTAAGGAGTCAAGAAGGAAGGAAAAGATCAAAATGGATGTCAAAAGCAGTCAAAAGCAGACTGTGAAACATGTTCTCCAACGTAGAGATGCTAAAGCAAATGGAAGAGGTACAAGAGCTGAAGCGTTTAAAGATCTGGATTTAGAAACTCAAAAGGGAAAAACACGTTCAGCATTTCTTAAACTGAAAGAATTGGAGAAAAAACAATATCGAAGAGGTCTATAGGCAAGATATTGAATGATGCAGAAAGCATCAAAAAAAGATGGAAGGAATACAGAGTCACTGTACCAAAAAGAATTGGTCAGTGTTCAATCTTTTCAAGAGGTAGCATATGATCAAGAGTCAGTGGTACTGAAGTGTAGTCCAAGGTACACTGAAGGCATTGGCAAAGAAGGTGATGGACTGTAAATTGAAATCTTTCAACAAACTGATGTGGCACTGGAGGCACTCTTTCTCCTATGCCAAGAAATGGAAGACAGCTACCTGGCCAACTGATTAAAATAGATCAATATTTATGCCCATTCCAAAGAGAGGTGACCCAATGGAAGGCACAGATCATCGGACAATTAACATTAATATCACACACTAATATCACACACAAGTAACATTTTGCTAAAGGTATTTTAAAAGCAGATGCAGCATTACATCGGCAGGGAACTTCCAGAGGTTCAAGCCAGATTGAAGTGAGGATGTATATAATGAGGGCTGTCAGATGGATTTTGGCTGAAAGCAGAGGATAGTAGAAAGATTACTACCTGTCCTTTCACTGACTATTCAAAGACTTTAAATTGTGTGGATCATGACAAGCTATGGAGAACACTGCAGAGAATGAGTATTCTGGAACACTTAATTGTGCTCATGAGGAACCTGTACATAGATCAAGAAGCAGTCATTCAAACAGAGCAAGGGGGACACTGAATAGTTTAAAATCAGGAAAGGTGTGCTTATCCTTTCTTCATACTTATTCAAACTGTATGCTGAGCAAATAATCTGAGAAGCTGGATTATAAGAAGAAAATAGCACAGGTATTGGAGAGAAGACTCATTATTAACAACGTGTAATATGCAGATGATACAACCTTACTTGCTGAAAGTGAAGAGGACTTAAAATACTTGCTGATGAAGATCAAAGCATGGACTTCACCTCAATGTAAAGAAAACCAAAAAATCCTCACCACTGGACCAATAGATCACATCTTGATAACTGCAAAGAATATTGAAGTTGTCAAATACTTTATTTTTCTTGGATCCACTATTTAACACTCATGGAAACAACAGTGAAGAAATCAAACACTAGGCACCTCTGTTGCACAAGACCTCTTTATAGTGTACAAGAGCAAACAGGTGCTCCTGATCCAAGCGATACTATTTTCAAAAGCCTCATATGCATGTGAAAGCTGGACAGTGAATAAGGGAGACCATAGAAGAATTGATGCATTTGAGCTATTGTGTTGGAGGAGAATATTGAAAGTACCACGGACAGCCAAAAGAACCAACATATCTGTATTGGAAGAAGTACAGCCAGAGTGCGCCTTTAGAAGCCAGGATGATGAAATTTTGTCTCATCAGAAGGGACCAGTCTCTAGAAAAGAACATCATGATTGATAAAGTGGAGCGTCTGTGAAAAAGAGGAAGACCCCCAATGAGATGGATTGGCACAGTGGCCGCAGCACTTGACTCAAATGACAACAATTGTGGGCGTGGTGCAGGACTGGGCAGCATTTCTTGCTGTTGTTAAGAGTGGGTGCTGACTCGACACCGTATGTCTCAATTTTTATTAAGAAATTTAAAACAAGTAGTAAGGAGCTCTGGTAGCGTAGCGGTTACAAATTGGGCTGTGAACCTCAGGGACAGCAGTTCGAAACTACCAGCTGCCCAGCGGGAGAAAGATGAGGCTTTCTGCTCGCTCTCGTAAAGGTTTACAGCCTCAGAAACCCTGTACAGGGTCGCTATGAGTTGGAACCGACTCCACGGCAAGTTAAATGATGAGTAGAAAGATAAACAAAGTTAGTATGTTTTAAAAGAAATCCTGTTTTATGTATCAAGCTGTATGTATCCTTTTTTTTTTTTCAAAATTTCTTTTAGTAAACATATGCTCAACAAAGCATACACCTATTCAGTACTTTTTACATACACAGTTCAGGGACAGTAGTTGCATAATTCATATTGTATCACCATTCTCACTATCTCTACCCATATTGTTTCACCACTGTTAATTTTTATTCTTTTTGTACCCCCATCTTAAAATTGTTAATGTGCCTTGGAGTCAGTTCCAACTCATAGTGACCCTGTACAGGGTTTCTGAGGCTATAAATATTTACGAGAGCAGAAAGCCTCATCTTTCTCCTACGGAACAGCTGGTAGATTCGAATTGCTGACTGTGAGATTCGCAGCCCGATTCATAACCACTATGCTACCAGAGCTCCTAAAATACATCTTAAAATCTATAACCAAAAAAACCAAACACATTGTTGTCAATTCCAATTTACAGCAACCCTGTAGATTTGCAGATTGGGAATCCAAATACAATGTGGCAGTTCTCCTCTGTGCTATAGGATTACTGTAAATTGGAATTAACAGCATTGAGTTTTTATTTATTTTTAAGCACATTTGTATCACAACTCTAAAAGCACTGGTCCAGCCAACCTTGAATCAAGCATGCTTTCTAGGCCTAGAGGAATTTAAAGTTCTTCTATTCTTTTAATCCAGCAGTTTCACAAAAAAATATTTTTAAAGCAAAAATGATATAAAACCCCAATGACTATTTACAACAGAGGTTGGGAGCTAAACCCTAACCTCCCTCCAGCAGTTACCCCAGGCACTTCTGGGTGATCCCATTTATACAGACCACAGTTTGAAAACCAGCTTCCCAGGTGACTCATCCCATGGTCCTTTGTCAGTATTGCCCTATCAGCCTCAATTTCCCTTCCTCTTCTAAACCTTTAGCATCCCACCTTTCAGTTCTCCACATGCCTTCTTTGATGCTGCTTTGTACTAAATTGAATTGGAATGTTAGTCATCCACAGAACACTCACAAGTGAACCAGGCATTCAGTAGCAGGTATGATTCCAGGTTGGGCCAGTCTCATAGATATAAAGTTATGTCTCCCTGAGTATCAGCATCGGTGATATTGATACCCTTTTTTGGGAGGTGGGGGGGGGGTGCATTCTCTAAATGTTTCTTATACATTTGTATAGGAGTTCATGATATATATTCTGGATGTTAATTGCATTCTTTGCTATATACAGTGCAAAAATTATTTTTTCAGTGTGTCTTCAACTTACATAGAAACTTCTTACACACAGTAAAAGATAAGATTAATGAAATTCACCAGTCTTTTGGGTTAAGAGCCCCCCTTCCTTAAAAACTATTGCTGTAGAAATGATTTTAACGTTAAAGTTTTTCAATCCTGGGACAGTTTTGCATATGGGGAGCAAATTAGTGCAGCAGTAAACCTGGACCATCCCTTCTGCCATCATTTTGAATGCTAACTTAGTGCTATGGCTTGGGGTCCACATGAGCAGGCTGTGAGAGCCTGAGCTGAGGTCACAGTGCTGTCATTGGCCAAGTTCTGTACTCATCAGCCATTTCATCTACGCTCACTTGTTCTTATGAGTCAAAACTCCCTGGGCCTTTTACCTACTCATAGAAAATTTTAAATCGGCATATCTAAAGTGAGGCTTGACATTTCCCATTATTGATGTGGAACCTTATTAACCATAAATATGCCTCTTACCAGTTTTTGGTCTTTTTTCCCCCATAAATTGTGTCATATTGTCAAAGAAAATGATATGCACCTCCTATTAGATTAAGTTCTGTGTATTTGATAGGTTTATTTTTTCCTGTTATTTTAAAAAGAGAAGAAAAGATTAGATGGTATTTGTATTTTTTACATTTTGATTGCACAGAAATACAACTGATTTTTATTATGTCCAATATAAATTCTTTCATAATTGAGTGCCTAGATTACCTTAGAATTTCTATATAGATAATCCTTATCAATTGTTAACAGGCTAGTTTTTGTATTTTGGGTTCCAGTCCTTAAGCTTTTTATTGTGTTGTTGAAGTGGCTATGACCTTAGTTTCATAGAAGTCATTCTCACATTGAGAGTTCTCGGTAGATGAATTATTAATGTTCTAGGTGTCTAAGGGCTTTTGCTTCTCTTCATTACTTCCTCAAAATGTTAGTAGTTTTCACTGATGTTTAACTTTTTTTTATCCTTTAGGTGATTTTCTGACTTGCTTTGATTAGCTCTGTATCTCTTTCATTCACAGCCCAGCTATACTCCAGCAACTAGTAATAATACTGTTGTGAATAGAAAATCTATGGAAGTTCCACAAGAAATGCAGAATTCCAGCAGTTATAATCTGGAACAAGAGTTTCTAGAAAGTGAACTTCTAAATATCATTGGAAGCCATATACAAAGAAAGAAAGATGTAAGTATGATTCTATAGGTATCATACTTTCCTTAAACTAAGATAGTTCTTGTAAGATTATTGGTCTTCAGTAGTTGTCCATTGTTATTACAAAACAAAACAATAACATTAGTGCCATCAGGTTGGTTCCAGCTCTTATTAACCCTGTATAGGGTGTCCGAGGGGCAGCTGGTGGGTTTGTGGTTTGTAGTCCACTTTGCTGATCCTTCAGCACCACACCAGAAGTTGCTGAACCAATGACATACTTTAAAATAGGCTTTTTTGTTTCATGATTATATAGGAATTTGGTTGAGCTTCTTGCCACTATAAAAGTTAATTTCAACATGAATATTCATCTATAAACTACAGAACATCAAGGCAGACGTTTCTAGCTGGGGGAGGGCTTGGGTGTGAGTAGTCATAGTTTGTATACACAAGTGGAGAGAGCAAAGAAAGAAAAGGAAGGGTGTGCATATGCATTTTCACGAAATAGAAAGCCAGCTCATTTGATGAGAGTGGCAGAGCCCATGCGATGAGACAGTGACTGACAAATAGGGGAGAGAGGAACCATTAGAAAGAGCCAGTACAAAAGCAGTGCTGTAACTGTGGGATGAGGTTAGACATAACAATTCTGGTTTAGTATGGAGGAAGGGAGAGAAACAAGACAGTCTGAACAAACACTTGGTGTTAAGTGCCATCGAGTCGGTTCTGACCCATAGTGACCCTGTATAGGGTTTCTGAGGAGCAGCTGGTGAGCTTGAACCACCGACCTTGCAGTTTGGCGCATTAACCTACAGCACCACAACAGGACTCCTTGCTTTAGCGTAATTCTAAGAGTAGCTACACTGATTCCTTTGTACTTTCTAATATATGTATTTCAGTTATATGAAAGCTGTTCAACTCCAATATCCATGACGAGTGAAAGAAGAGAGCCTTGTGACACTGCTCACGTATCATCAGGTTTGTAGTTCTAGGCTTGTTTTCAAATGACTGCTTACTGAAATACTATGGCAGCATTTTATGCCAGGGATGAACTCCAAAGATAGTCCAAGTTATAATATACCATTATTGATTAGCTTAATTTCTAAATGAAAATTAGGTAGAATTAAAGGTACAGTTGCCTAAAATGTAATGCAAGTAACAAACGAAAGCTTTTTATACAAGCAAGAACACATTGGGTATTTTTCGTCACTATTGTTAATTACTTTTAATCATTCCTAAGGCCCTACTTGGCATCCTAATCGCAAAGGAATGTACATAGAAGATGATGTAAGTAATTCCGATGAAGTAGAAACGGACGAGGAAGAAGAAAGAAGAGTAAATTTGTTTCCTAAAAAACGGTCCAAATTAGAAGATGCAGATCCTCACACCTGTACAAGTAGGTAGATCAGATGCCTGTACCAAAGACACAGCCATTTGGATGGTGGTTTCTTACGTTATAAATGACCCTACCCACAAGACGGATTCCCTGTGAAAACTGCTTTATCTATCAAAATTTACGGTTAAATTGCTATCCTATAGATGACATTGTGTTAGTATGGAAGCATTTTACAGATTTCATTATTAAATGAGTACTGGTACTGTTGTATTGTTAAGTGCTGTCAAGTTGGTTCCAATTGATAGTGACTCTGTATAGCGCTTCCAAGGCTTGATCAATCTTAAAGGAAGTAGAAAGACTCCGTGCATAACCTATTTATAGATCTTTTTATCACTTTATACATCTTAATAGAGTATACATTTACTGATAGATAATTTATCAGTTATAAGGTGAAAACATTTAAAAACAAAAAATCAGAATATAACTATATAATAACTGAAATTTAAAGATATGAATAAAGTCTATTTTTTATTTCAAAATCCCTAAATTGTAACTGTTGATAGGTGCCCTTCAGTTGGTTCCAGCTCCTAGTTACAGAGGGAAACACTGCCCAGTCTGCACCGTCAGACTGGTAGTTTGAGCCCATTGTTTAGATTATAAGTAAATACATAATTTAATTTTAGCTGATGGTCTTCATTTTGTAGTGTCTGAAAGTATATCTACGTTTTCAGCATATGAGTGTTCTGTTCCTTGGGGGAACTATGAAACTGAGCAACCATATGTACAGATGATGTGTGAGAAACTTCATAAACAATACAGGAGGAATATCCAAGTAAGTGATCATTCTTTAAATTATGATTGAAACGCCAATGTTTTCATGCTTTTTGATAAACTTAAACCCCTCTCACTTTGTTCTGCGTTAGAACAATTTAAAACTGTGTTTCATGGTTTCTCCCTTCTCCTTTTACTCTCACGTGCCTGTATTAAGGGAATAGAGAGTTCTTTTAAGCCCCTTAAGTTAAGAAAAGAGGCCATCAACCCCATTTATTTTAAAACGTTCTACATACTTAATATTTCAAGTGTGACTTAGGCAGGTTTCTAGGTGCTGCGGGGTGGAGTGTCCTTACACGGCCAGCTCAGCAGCATATCAGCTCTCAGTGGACTTAGCCAATAGCAAAACAATAACAACTTTTTTTAGTCATTTACAATTTATAGAAGAAAAGTTGCTCTTAATCATTTTTAGTTGCTCATATATTGTTTTCAAATGTAAAACTTACAATTTTTCCAGACTCACTACAAAAGGGTAGATCATTTCACAAAGCAGTCTTGGAAATCAGTTGAACAACATATGACAACAATGAACCATCAGATTCAAGAGTACAGGTCTGTAATAAAAATTTCCCCTGACAACTTGTGAATAGTATCATTTTAAAAATGAATTTCATTTTACTTTTTAATAGGAATGAAAAACTTGATAAATTCCAATTCACCATCATACAGGAGCTGGAGAATTTTGAAAGAGAGTCACAGTCTCTAAAAGTTTTGGAGAAGGAATTCATGGTTTGTGCTCTTTTTAAAAATAATTTTAACCTTTGTTTTTCAGAATTACTGTGTGCCATCAAGTTGTTTCTGAGAGCAGCAGGAGGTTTTAAACTGCTGGCCTTGCAGTTCCCACACCAGGGCTCATTTAGGAACTACACAATAGGAAAACTTACCCTCTGTTTATCTCACCCTAAAAAATTTTTGGTTTTTAATGGACCTAACAAGCTCTGGTAGCGTAGTGGTTGGGCTGCTAACCTCAAGGTCCACAGTTCGAAAGATGAGGCTTTTTGTTCCTGTAAAGATTTACAGCCTCGGAAACCCTGGGCAGGGTCACTATGAGTCGGAACCGACTCCACGGCACATAACAACAAGATGCTGCTAATGATGAAAAGGGAGAAATTCAAATACACTTTAGCATCTAGAAATTCTTAGCACGGAGCCTTTTATTTACCTTTTAAATACTAGAGCTACAGTAAATTCCACTGTCAGGTCAAAGTGTAACCGCTTTTTTTATATGTCAAAATAGGGATTTTGGGAAAAGATATTTCAGAAGTTCATTGATTATCAGAAAAGTGAACAGCAGAGGTGAGTATAACGTTCTTAATGACTGAAATAGCTTGTTTAAAAATCTGAGTGTGTATTATTTGAATGTTGGTCTGTTGGAAAAGTGGTGCATTTAAAATGATCTAAGCAGTATGATAGCACTTACAATGAATACATAGCTCACCGTCTTTGTTTGGTTTGTTAGGCTTCACCTTTTGAGAAGCTCCTATGATAAGAATGTCCTCCACAACACTAAGCATGATGAAAGTATTTTTACATCTGAGGTACAGCGATTTAATATGCAGCCTTTCTTAGTTATTCTAACTCAATCTGTATAAACCTTCATGGTGGAAATATATTTACTTCTTTCCAGATGTGCGCGATTTAATATGCAGCCTTTCTTAGTTATTCTAACTCAATCTGTATAAACCTTCATGGTGGAAATATATTTACTTCTTTCCAGATGTGCTCGATGAAAGAAAACACAAGAAGACTCCAAGAACAGCTTCTTAATGAAATGGTACATGATGATCATGTTCTTATGTCAAGTCATTGTGTTGTATTAAGTTGTAAATGTAAAAAGGAGCAGGAAGAATTGGGCTAAACCACCTGCCTGCCTTTGGGGTTTTGTCAAAGAGGGCAGGCATTTTCATGTCTACCCTAGTGCTCATCTGTGTCAGTACATAGGGTATATGTTAATACACATACTCAACTTTCATACAGGCTGAAATAGTGAGGTGGTCTGGATAGTGCAAGTAAGCTAACTGATTGATGAATTCTGTCAGTAGCTAGAGCTCCATGCACATCCTGCCCAGGGAGAATTGGGCAGACTGAGCACAATACAAAGGGTTGTTTTAAAATGAATCCCTTCATAACAACTTGGTTTCTTCCTTCTATTGTATGTGGTAAACTTTTTATGATAATGTAAAATCTAATTGTGATTTTTGGTGTTTTTTTTTTTACCATAGCAAGAAGAGGAGCTTCGTAAAGTCCGTAGAGGACTGGAGTCATTATTAACATCTGATGAAACTTAGTTGCCAACAGCTTGTTTTGTTTCATCTGCTCATCCTTTTCTGTGTACAACTGAGGAAAAGGCAGAGCAGCACTGAAAAGAGAAAAATGTACATGTCAGCTGGACATGTGTGTTCTTAGTAGATATCTTATTGAGCAGAACAAATACTAGATAGATCTACACTTGTTTTAGTTGGAATTATTCATATTTGCATTATGAAAATGTTTCTGAGTCATGACAGAACTAATTACTTCATTCATAAATCTTTTTGCATAGTTAAGAATACATTAATTTAAAATGTTTACTTGAGTGATATAGATCAGTATTTGATATAGATCAGTATTTTTAGCATACTGTTAACGATTTATTTATTCAATTATGACTCCAGTGTCTTAGAAGGCACTAAGTAGCCTAAAATAGTATATACTGACTGCCTAAGTATTATAATCCTAGATACAAGTCTTAATTAAGCAGGCTGTTTTTGTTTTGATACAATTTTTTGCTAGGTTAAGTTGAAATAAATGCTTATGTCACTTGAATAAATATTATAAAATTTGGTGACAGTTGGGTCAAATGAACTATCCGTCTCCAATCAAATATCTAACGTATAATAATAATAACCAGGCTTCACTATCAGTTGCCTCATAATGGCAGTAGAATATCTGATTCAATATCTGATTCATACAAGCATCTAAATAAGGAGTTGGGCTGCTAACCTCAAAGTCAGCAGTTTGGATGTAACTACCAGCGTTCCACGGGAGAAAGATGAGGCTTTTTACTCCTGTAAAGATTTACAGCCTTGGAAACCCTATACAGGGTCGCTATGAGTCGGAACAGACTCCACCGCATAGAACCAGTAACTTCGTAGTCAAGATAAGCAAAAAGCAAACCTCCTTCATGTTTTAGTTGTGGTTGTTAAGCGCCATTGAGACTGTTCCAACCCATAGGTTTCCTAGGAGCAGCTGGTGAGCTTGACCCGGCGGCCTTGCAGTCCAGTGCATTAACCTGCAGTGCCACACCAGGACTCCTCA